GTTTAGTTCTTCTGCATCTTTGTTGAGTTTCTTTCCAGTTGTTCTATCTCTTATTGAAAGTGATATGTTAAAATCTCCTAATATTACTATGGTAGCATAGTGCCTAAGGCACTTGACTGCTAACCAGAAGGCTGGCGGTTCAAACCCACCAGCCACTCCTCAGAAGGAAGGTTGGGCAGTCTACTTCTGTAGTGATACCGCCTCGGAAACCCCAGGATGGGTATCTACGGCACATAACAACGACAACAACAAAATCACCCTCTCACCCTGAGTACTGGAAGAAGGACCCCATAAAAACCCCATGTAATCTTTGTTCAGCGCTCAGTCTCTGGGTGTGAGTCCACTGAGTGTGTGCTAGCACACAGAAATAAAGGTCCTTCCTTTTTTCACCATCCTGTTTGGCGTCAGTCTTTTCCTTGATGGCTCTGGTAACACGTTCAGGGAGAAGAATGCCATCCAGTATTTCTTTCTCCTGTTACCTTGTTGGACTTTAGTATCAATGTTACATAAGCTGAAGCAGGTTCCCTCTTTTTCTTTTCTCTGGAAGAACTTGTACAAGACCAGAATTCTTTCAACCTTGATTGTCTGGGTGAACTTGCAAGTGAAGTTCTGTGACCCTGGAATTGTGCTAAAGGATGCTTTCTGACTATTGATTCTGTTCCTTTCAGAATCATAGGACTTTGTGGGTTTTCGGTATTTCTTGAGTTTTTTTTTTTTTTAATGTTATATTTGCTTATACATTTGTCCACTTAATCTACATTTTTATACTATATTCTTTTCTGTTAACATCTGCAACAACTTTAGTGAGAACCTCTTTTTATTGTGTATTTTTCAACAATAAGAACTAGTGATTTTCAAAAAGAAAACAATACCTACACATGGTGAAAACAGAAGGTTAATCATACAAAAGCATAAAATACAGAAAGTAAAAGGGCCCCGCAATCCTGCGTCCCACACCCTGAGGAAACTACTGGTGGCAGCTTGGTATCCGGCCTCATAGTCTCATCTCTGTCCATAGAGATACACGTTCTTCTCCACAAAACATGAGTTCTTACTTTATGTACTTTCCTGAACGCCTTTTCTCCCACTTTTGATGTCATCAGACACTTCAGTGCTTACAGCAGTGATGGCGTAATATCCCACTGAAGTGGGTAAACTATGCTCCCACTCTGGGTCTTTGAAATGTCTCCCATGCTCTACTATCATAAGCAATACTCTTTGGTTTGGTTTGGTTTAGTTTTGCTGTCAGTAATGGTAAAGGAAGGCGAAAACCTCCCTTCCCCAAATGAAGGCAGAGACCAGGAAGCTGGCTGAGACTGGCTATGAGCAAAGCACTAGCAGCCTGACCTTCAGCCCTCCTGCTGATGGCAGCCCAAACCCCATCTCCGTAAGTGCGCTTCTCAGGAGAGGAACTTGAGTATCTACTTTTGGATTCAGAAATTTCCAGAAATAGAAACACCTGGGCCAGAGAGAACCAACAGCTTGTAGAGAAGGGAAGCCTGGTCTCCCATCAACGTGAGCACCACCTCTGCCACCACCCTGCTTGGAGGCCTTGGGCAGGACACTGGGCGGGCAGGACGCTGGGCGGGCAGGGGTGAGTCAGACTCTCAGCATCACAGGAGCCTGTCTTCTCTTTCAGGGCATATTCTCGTTTGAGTTCCAGCCCCTGAAAGCTGGAGAAACCTTTGGGAGACTTTCTTTGCACAACAGTGAACTAGGTTACTACCTATATGAGCTCAGTCTGAAGGCCATCCCCTCACTGCCTGAAAAGCCCGTCCACTTCCAGACTGTTATTGGCAACAGCCAGAGCATCTTTGCCAAGTTCACCAATTACACCCGGCAGAAGACGGAATACCTCTGCAGGGTGAGCAGCCCCGGCCCCCTCCCCCGCCCTTCCCTTGCCAGAAGTCTGGGCTCAGCGATAATGGGAGGAAGACACGGAGGGTGCAAGAGTCTGAAACTCAACGAGAGCCAGGTGCTTGTCACAGGGCCCCACCGTGGAGGCCTGAATCGAGCCTGGAAACTCCCAGCTGGACACAAGTCATTCCGGGCCTGGGTTCTTCCTTTCTGGACTTTGTAGCTTACTGAGCGAGGAGGGACCGGTTCTGCTTCCCCAGCATCTCAGTAGCTAATGAAGTGTACAAGCTGCTCAGTGGCCTGAGTTGAGGCCAAGGAATCGAACAGGCCTGTGCCTGAATACTGGCTTCATCGCTGACTCGCTGTGTGGGTAATTTACTGACACTCCCTGGGCTTACCTGTGAGTGGGGATGGACAAGCAGCCCTAGGATTGCTGGGGTGATTTTTAAACTGCACACGAAGCAGTGCTCATACTGCCCGGTCCATCGTAAGTGCTCCATAGAGATCAGCTGTTTTAGCAGTGGGAATACAGGTGTTACTCCTGAAATGGAAACCCAAAATCACAACAAAACAGGTGTTTATTCCTTCTTCAGATAACAGTCTGGGCATAAGCAGTTTGGGGAGACAAGGGGAAGCTGCACACATCACTTTCACTCCCAGGCCATGGAACAGAACTTCCTCCCCAGGCCCTACCCCATCCTAGTCAGGTTCTCAAGAGAAGCAGACTCGGTGACTGGCTGTATATCTACCCCATCCCCAGCGTCTGCCGTCACAGTGCCGGAGGGAGGGAGGGCCTGGAGAGGCTTGCACTGCACGTAAACACAGCAGCAGGGAAGTGACACCTTTCACTTTGGCTCATACGGATTGCCCAGAACTAGTCCCACTCATGCACAAAGACCCAGAAAGCTCCCTCTTCCCTGTGCGTGGAAGGAAAGTAGAACCAGATGCGGGGGGGGGGGATGTCTTTGTGCACCCCAGATTCTTTATCATAAAACAGATAATAAGTATCAACACCTACTCTTCAAGGTAGTTAAAAGGACACAGCTTTATAACCTGCCCGGCCTCACACAAGCATCACCGACTTGATGTCCATGAGTGAGGGGGCTCAGACTCCTGGGACATGTGCTCTTCAGGATCCTGGGTGAGCTGGGTGCTCTTGTTCCCCTTGCAGACCGACTGCCCGGACTTCCACACAGAAAGAGTCATTAATGCAGCCCCAGGAGCCCAGGGAGGCACCGAGGTGAGCGTGGAGATCATCTTTGAGCCCAGCCACCTGGGTGAGACCAAGGGCACCCTGACCCTGTCATCGCTCACAGGAGGGGAGTATACCATCCCCCTGTTTGGAATGGCTGTGCCCCCCAAGCCCCAGGGGCCCTTCCTGATCCGAGCCGGGTGCAGCATCATCATCCCCTTCAAGAATGTCTTCTACCATCCGGTGACCTTCTCCTTCATTGTGGAGAACCCGGCCTTCATCATCCGTGCCGGAGACTCCGTGCGGCCCAAGAAGATCAACAATATCACCGTCTACTTCGAAGGCAACCCCTCCGGCAACAAAACGCCCATCACCGGCAAGCTGATCGTGTCCTGCCCTCCCGGGGAAGGCAGCGAGACAGGGATTAAATGGGTGTACTATCTGAAGGGGATCACCCCTTAGAGGTAACCAGGGTCAGGTGTGTCAAGGAAAAGCCATCTCCTCAGCATTGTGTGTATGCATTGTTCTAGCCTGACAGAAGATAAAGAATAAGAATCCTAAAGGTATGCCTTTATTCTCCTCGTTCTATTATAGGAGTGGCTTCCAGAGTTTATGTTCCAGATGCTTATCACATGTATGCATATATACGTATTATATTAAATGCAGTAGCTACACACAATAGATCTATGTTTTAGATGATTGGTTCTTTGCCAGCCCCAAACTGAATTTCTTAACATATCCCTAAATCTCAGGTGTTCTGTAAAAATCTCCATTTTTAACAAGAAGACATGGTTCTCACACTCATGACCTTCTATCAGACGGCACTTAGCAGGTCATGGTCTGAAGCACTGCAGTTTCTTTTCAAAATCCAGCTTTTCGAAGGGTCTTTACAAGTGACGCTGTGTTATTCTGCTTTCACATAAAAGCCAAGTTAAGTGTTTAACCAAGTGATGAAAAGATAACGGCAACCATGACAGGGCCAGGGCCAGGGATGCTCCCATACACTTCTTTCCTGGTGTTTGTATCATCAGTCTCTGGCTCGCGTATCTCTTCCTACTGATGGCCAAATGCTGGAGAAGCACTAATAGAGAGCCCCAGCTCCCTGTCCCCGTCCTAACCCCATGCACAGCAGCCAGCCTATAGAGCCAGGAATGGTGGGACAGAATCGCCTAATCCTGGTCCTGAACCCCCTCCCTCAGCAATGTTCACTTGGTCTTAGGAGGAGTGAGCATCATATTTTCTCTTTTTTTGAAAACTTACAAAGCAAGGCTGAGGGCCAATGCTATACAGATCATACAGCCAGCCACCTGGGCTGCAACTGAGTTGGAATCTCCCTCCAGGGGAAGGCCCACATCCATATTTGGTATGTTTAAACTGCACCTGTCTTGCGCATAAAGGGTGACGATCTGCATCAGTGCCCTTCTCAAGCAGGGCGATTTCTCAGGGGAGGCACTACAGTGTCTAGCTCCAGCTCGGCAGAACAGCGGGACGTGTCCCTTAGCCCAGAGACGTGGCTCCACGGCCTTCTCCTCCTCGGGTCTTGCTGTATGTGTTCACAGGACCACTTCCCTGTTGGCACCACCAAAGTATATTTTGAAATAAAGATGCTAAAAGACTGGTCCTGGAGTGGATTTGTTTCTGAGACACACACTTGTGGCTGAAGATCCCCCCGTCCTTACTCCCTCCTCCCTCTGCCTAGAGCCCACCAGCAGGAGAGGGAGGAGCTTCTGATCTAAAGGCAGGACGAAGCATTGGTCTGGGCCTTTAGTAAAAAACTGGTTTCTTAGCAACCTAATCTAGAATGTCATTTCAGGAGAAAAGAGTTCCTTCTGGTAAAAACCTGTCTTTACTTTTTCAATTATTAAAAACTTTATTATATTAATGGCTATTGGAAAATTCAGTTCATTTCAAAAGCCAAACCAAGAAACAAAAGAAACAGGTGAGATATATTAGTTATGGGTCTGCCGCAGGCCGAGTTCTAGAATAATAACTAGAAAGTCAGCTATGACTAGAAAGTAGCTCAGAGAGAAATTTAGTAAGAGGATAGTAACCTTGCAAGGTGGAGACACACAGGGCCTTACAGTCTAGGGGTTTTTATATTACTTTTTAAGGCTGTGGGGTGCGTGATTTCAAAAGACCTTACGCAGGCAGGTATTCATAAAATCCTGACCCTTTTGCAAAAGTTGGGAAGGGGAACAAGGCTGTGATAAACTCCTAAGATAGACCTCCACTTTCTCCAGGCTAGGTGCAGGCACAGTGTGTCTGTAAGATGGCGTCTGTGTGTTCCAACATGGATGCTGCAACTTCTGCGTAGGCACATTCTGCTGTCTGTGCTTGGTTGAGTCTCGGTCTCATCTTGGATCAGCCATCTTAGTTCATACGGCGGTGAAGGAGGGCGGGAGTGCATAGGCTCCAACACTAGTTAACGCTGACCACGGGTAGTGGGCTGGAAGACGTCTCAAGAATGGCCTGTTACCAGGAAATGCCATCTAAGGCTATATTCATATTTGTGTTATTTCTTTTGCAGTGTCCCTTCCTTAGTTTCAGGATCTTAGGAATGTGGTTGCAGGGGCAGGATTCTTAGGTAATTATGGCTACAAGTAGTAGAATAAGGCAATGTTTAAATTGAACAGGATGAATATAGAGCTCAGGTTATGAAGTTAGAACACATATTCCTTTCCCACAAATTCCGTCTATACTATTACAGGTGCAATGGAAATGAATACACATCGGAGAAATTGACCTAAATCATTGTGTTGGTTGACCGTTTTTCATACTTTTGCATCACCATCCCCAAAACCCCATCACCCAAACCCTTGGTCTCCCATCAAAACACTTGGAAACATCCTTGGCAGTTCTACTTGGTACCAAGAGGAGGAAACTATTAAGCAATACATTTCTTAGGAGGTGAATCTATGTTGGGGGCAGTTTTCAGCTTGTTGGCAGACTCACCTTCATTCACTGGATTGTGTTGGCAAAGGTTTGAACAGCTGTGAAAAACCCACAGGTAAAGGAAAACGTATTTTTCAACAATTTTTCTAGATAAAATTCCTCCATGACTTACTGAGTTTGGGGTTACAAAAAAACAAACACATTGCCGTGACTCAACATGATCCTAAAGGGCAGAGTAGAACGGTCCCATAGGGTTTCCAAGGCTGTGTAAATCTTTATTGAATTAAACTGCCATACCTCTCTGACTACTGACCTTTCTGTTAGCAGCTGAGCGCTTTTAAGCACTGCGCCACCAAGGCTCTCTAAATTCTGAGTTAGCCTGTGTTTTAGTTTTTCTATGGCTATGTGACAGAAATCAACATACATTTATTGTCTCACAGTTCCCGTGGGTCAGGACTGTGAAATGGGTTGAGCTGGGTCCTTGGCTGTGGATTTTAACAGGCTGAAATCAGTGTCATCCAGCTAGCCTCAGAGTGAGGAATGCCCTCATTAATATAATAAGAGAAAACTACTGTTTCCAGATGGTCACATCCACAGGTGCAGGCCAGGATTTCAATACTTATTTTAGGGGAACACAATTCAATCTACAACATGCAACAGGGCTCTGCAGCAGAGTTCTTTATTGTACCCTTCCCGAGTAGACAAGGGCTTGGAAAAGGTTTCGACCACAGTGGAGGTGGCCCACAGAAAAAAACACCAACATGGGAAAGACCCTGATTTGGACTCTACCTCCAGAACTGTGAGAAAATAAATTCCTATTCTTCAGAGCTACCCATGTGTGATACTTAGTGTTAGGACAGCACCAGGTAACTAGGACACTGTATGTTCAGGCACACTGTGTTCACAACTTGCTTTTTAAAATTTTACCACAGAGTTTCAGTTTCTATTCCACTAACACACTCTGGAGGGGAGGCTCTGTGGTGGATCCACGTGGAGACCTGCACTAGATTTGGGGCTTCTCCCTCTGTCAGCCAGCTCTCCTAGGTGTCAGAGCATGGTCAGTCCGATTCCCAGATGGAACAGTGATGAAGTAGGACCAAACGTGGGTCCCTGCCCGGCACGCAGTCAGGCCAAAACAGTTTACATACCGAGTGATTAAGAGGAAAAAACATTTTTGCAAAGAGGCAATGCAAGGAGACAGGGGCCGGTACCCAAATCTGACTCCCTGAATCCAGGTCAGGATACAGTTCTGTAAGCTTCAGGAGGGGGAGGTTATACATAAAAACTTCAGGAAATTGGGCATGAATTAACTGGGAATTGGCTGAGGCTTCTGTTGCCTCAGTTTAAAGGGACAGTCGATTTTTAATACAGTGCGCTTGCACAGCAGATGAATTACACCAGCTTCCTGTCATCAGCTGGTCCAGGCTTAGGCAGAGGGGAGAATGTCAGTTCCCAGCAACTTTGTTCCTGTTTGTCTCACTGTTTTGCATGTCCATGGGCCAAGGTTAATTTTCAAGTTGTCTTTTGAAACATATTAACATACTTATCACCTGTTTCTAGGGGATAACATGGAGACAATGTGTAAATTGACGTTTCATTCCATTCAGTTCTTAAGGAACTGAGTTACCATGTTTACTTATCTGCCTCCCATGGAGGCCCTATCTGTCTTAACCAGGTTGGTGGTGAGAGTTGAGCTTTCTCATTCTATTCAGTTCTTAAGGAACTGAGTTTATCATATTTACTTATCTGCCTTCAACCAGGGATGCAGGCTGAACTTTGACTCCTCCCGACCAGCGACAGCCACTGTTTGTACCTAGGGTTTTAGGTGGTAACGTCATTTGTAATTGAGAATTTAATGTCATAAAAACGTTAACTAGCTCTTAAACCCATGATTTTATGTCAGAAGCAAGGCTAAAGCAAGAATTGAACATTTTTTAAAAAAAGCAAGTGTTGATTTCAGAGAGGTTAAATTACAGTACAAGTGGCTAAGACGAGGCGAAAATCATGATGGTGTTAGGCCACTCTGGGAACACTGACGCATGCATTACTTGCGGGGCAACTAGTAATGAAAGAATGAACGAATTCAGTATGTATTGGATACAAAATACTAAGTGCATAGAGTCGTGCCTTCGACTTTGTCTCACCTGCTTTGGTCATGTTGTCAGAAGGGACCATTCCCTGGAGAAGGATATATAGTGCTTGGTAAGCGAAAAGGGGAAAGTCCTCAACAAGATGGATTGACACACCGGCTGCAACGATGGGGTCAGGTATAGCAAGGACTGTGAAGATGGCGCAGGACCGGGCAATGTTTCGTTCCCTACCTTAAAACAATGAAGTGCGTAGAGCATTTGTCTCCTAAACATCTATATAAGCCTCATTCCCGACCGCAAAGCGTGCTGCAGGCCGATAAGCGCGTCTCACGTCGCACCCACGCTACCCCGGCAGAAAGAGGGAGTGTGAGAGGAGGGGTGGAGCCTTCCAGGGGCGTGACCAACACACCTGCGGCCGGCGTGAGGGGCGTGGCCGGAGAGGGGCGGATCCTCGCAGCGGAAGGCGGAAGCAGCTGCGGAATCATGTGATACGAGTAACATGGCTGCTGCCCCATGAGCACGGCTGGCCCCGGGCGGGAGCAGGTTGCGTGAGCCTTGAGGCAGCCTGGAGCAGGTGTGCAGGGGCGGAGTTGGGACTCGGGTTCTGAAGCGGCGCGCGACAGCAGAGCTAAGCAGGGCGC